AGAGACAGAGAGAGAGAGAGAGAGAGAGAGAGAGAGAGAGAGATAGAAAGAGAGAGAGAGAGAGAGGTAATTGTTTGAGATAAAATTTTCCATTTTATGAAAATCTCTAATATCGCGTGTAGACATAAAAATTGCCCACGAATCCAATTTTAAATTAATTTAATGCCATTATTCACGAATTGCTAGAGTGAATAGTTATTAAGGCTTGTTTTAATATAACTGCCTTATTATCTACCTAATTTCTCTTAGTTCTAGGAGCTCGTTCATATTCATACGAATGGAATACGAATCTTATGCAAAAAAGAAAGTTACAAATTTCTTCTATAAGTACTGACTGAAGAAGCACCACGCGGCAAACGATGAATTCGAAGCGAAGTGAAACCGCTCACTTATTTAATCGTAGTAGTAGTAGTAGTAGTAGTAGTAGTAGTAGTAGTAGTAGTAGTAGTAAGGCACTTGACGAGCTTCATTTTTGTTTCGCTTGTTGCCGAATGCGCCGTTAACGTTGCATAATTTCTTTTCCGATCTTCAAAATAAGGCAAGTCGCAACTCGCAATGCATTGCATTCGAAAAGTCTCGTTGAATTAAGGAGCGTTACGTAATAGAGCGGTGGCATACGAGTGGCAATCGAGTAATTTCCCTCGATTATGCTTGACATTATGCGCACTGTTTAAAAATGAAAATCACAACAATTCGAGAGGTTAATGGAGCGAACGAAATACCACGGTACCGCGATAGCACTTTCACCGCAAGCCCGACTATCTTTGGTTTACACGGTGTCGCGCACCAGCGCCCCTTTTTTCTACTCAATGCGGTACGGCGCGGATAAGCGCACATCGTCAAATCAGCCATAATCGTGAGAATCGAGATATTTTCCGCTTTTCCCTCGACATTTACAGATAGTCTGTCCTTCAAAATAATGCATTTATCATCATTATTAAGTTATAGCCCGATTTTCAGTTAATAAAGCCATTAGAAAGAGCTGCGCAGATTGCGTTAGGCTTGCATACGTTCGGCGTCTATGAAAGCCCGGTAAATGGATGGCACCCCCGCAAGAAGAAGGTAAATGAAGAAGAAGAAGAAGAAGAAGAAGAAGAAGAAGAAGAAGAAGAAAAAGAGGTGGGTGAGGAGACGAGAGCGGTGGGAGCGTCACACGCGACGTTGCGTGCGAAATGCGCCCGAGTGGACAGACGGCGATCGAAAGCAAAGTGCAGCGGCCGCGGCGAGCGGTTGTGCCATAACGGGCAGAAGGTGCGAGTCGTCCTTGACGACGCCGAGGATCATTGTTACGGCCCTCCCCGAGCTCGGCCCAACTCCAAGACTACGAGAGGAATCGCGGAAATAATGGGGCAATGTTAAAACGAGCTTCAACCCCCCCCCCCCCCCCCGCGCGG